CCTTGGTAGAAAAGGGAGTCCGTGACGTAAAACTGGAACAATTAAGAATTATATTAAAGTTAGCAAAATCCAGAGACCCAGAACAATATATTGAAAAATCTATAAAAATAAATAATCCTACAAGCTTATGTACCATAATGGACACGATCACTTCCTCAAGCTACATATATATACAGTAGTCATATTCCCCCTTATAAGGGGGATGGCTGAGTCAGAGAAAACACTTTGACTATGTGGGAAGAAAAATACAGAGAAGAGGATTCCCGGTCCCCTAGCTCTGCCCCATTTAGTCGACCTTTACGATAACCAGGGGAACATGGAGGCAATCATCTTACCCCCCCCCTCCCTCATGATACGAAAGCAGGATTCTGACAAAAATTAGTCCTCAAGATTTTCAACTTATAAGTAAAGGCCGAAGTAAACAGCATATACTATATATAAGGGCCATATTCCCTCATAGGTAGTGGCCGAGTCGAAGTAAAACTCTGTGGGAAGATAAAAAAAAATGGGGATTCCTATTCCTCTCCAACTCATATAGTCGACTTTTACAACATTCAGGGAACACGGAGGCGGCATATAATTCAAATGATTAATTAGTGAACTTGAACCACGAAACAAAGCTCATTACAGAGTTATATTGCCTGTAATGACATCAGTCTCCAGTAACTGACTGTATACAGAGGTAATTACCTTACATATTATGCCTTTGGGTCGTGAAGCTGATTAGAGAATATCGTCTTAGAGGTTCTTTAATATATATGATGTGTGTGTGTGTGTGTGTGTGTGTGTGTGTGTGTGTGTGTGTGTGTGTGTGTGTGTGTGTGTGTGTGTGTGTGTGTGTGTGTGTGTGTGTGTGTGTGTGTGGCGCGAGCGCGCGTTTCCTTACTGCTAATTATAATCAATCTATAAACTAAAAAAAATAAAAAATAACTATAAATACATTAATAAATATAGTTCAGTTCCGGTTCCGGTTTTACGTCACGGACTCCCTTATCAACCAAGGGCTAGGACGGTTGCCTTCTTGCGAAGGACTTGTTTTGGCAGATGTAATCCTTACGCTGAGTGCATGCCTTTGCTAACCTCAGACCGTGACGGGGCGCGAACCCTCGACCTGATGCCTAAGAGTCGGAGACGCTACCGACTGAGCCACGGCGACTACCATTAATAAATATAGTACATGGATAAAAATAACAAGAAACAGGTAGATAAACAAACAAAGACAAAAAAAAAATAAACTTTATTAAGTTCAGCTTTTGTGTAAGGAAGTGTTTACGAACTAAATATTTGATTACGCAATTGTTTTCGTTTCATTAATATGCATGGAACTATTCAACGAGGTAAAAATAATGGCAGTTTTCCAAACGCAAGAATGATAAACAAGAGATCTGTCAAAGACTATTCCACTTGTTTATTTGCTCAATACAATTTCCTTATTCCACTTGTTTATTTGTTCAATACAATTTCCTTATTCCACTTGTTTATTTGTTCAATAAAATTTCCTCATTCCACTTGTTTATTTGTTCAATACAATTTCCTTATTCCACTTGTTTATTTGTTCAATACAATTTCCTTATTCCACTTGTTTATTTGTTCAATACAATTTCCTTATTCCACTTGTTTAATTGTTCAATACAATTTCCTTATTCCACTTGTTTATTTGTTCAATACAATTTCCTTATTCCACTTGTTTATTTGTTCAATACAATTTCCTTATTCCACTTGTTTATTTGCTCAATACAATTCCCTTATTCCACTTGTTTATTTGTTCAATACAATTTCCTTATTCCACTTGTTTATTTGCTCAATACAATTCCCTTATTCCACTTGTTTATTTGTTCAATACAATTTCCTTATTCCACTTGTTTATTTGTTCAATACAATTTCCTTATTCCACTTATTTATTTGTTCAATACAATTTCCTTATTCCACTTGTTTATTTGTTCAATACAATTTCCTTATTCCACTTGTTTATTTTCTCAATAAAATTTCCTTATTCCACTTGTTTATTTGTTCAATAAAATTTCCTCATTCCACTTGTTTATTTGCTCAATACAATTTCCTTATTCCACTTGTTTATTTGCTCAATACAATTTCCTTATTCCACCTGTTTGTTTGTTCAATACAATTTCCTTATTCCACTTGTTTATTTGTTCAATACAATTTCCTTATTCAACTTGTTTATTTGCTCAATACAATTTCCCTATTCCACTTGCTTATTTGCTCAATACAATTTCCTTATTCCACTTGTTTATTTGTTCAATACAATTTCCTTATTCCACTTATTTGTTCAATACAATTTCCTTATTCCACTTGTTTATTTGTTCAATACAATTTCCTTATTCCACTTGTTTATTTGTTCAATACAATTTCCTTATTCCACTTATTTGTTCAATACAATTTCCTTATTCCACTTGTTTATTTGTTCAATACAATTTCCTTATTCCACTTATTTGTTCAATACAATTTCCTTATTCCACTTGTTTATTTGTTCAATACAATTTCCTTATTCCACTTGTTTATTTGTTCAATACAATTTCCTTATTCCACTTGTTTATTTGCTCAATACAATTCCCTTATTCCACTTGTTTATTTGTTCAATACAATTTCCTTATTCCACTTGTTTATTTTCTCAATAAAATTTCCTTATTCCACTTGTTTATTTGTTCAATAAAATTTCCTCATTCCACTTGTTTATTTGTTCAATACAATTTCCTTATTCCACTTGTTTATTTGCTCAATACAATTTCCTTATTCCACTTGTTTATTTGTTCAATACAATTTCCTCATTCCACTTGTTTATTTGTTCAATACAATTTCCTTATTCCACTTGTTTATTTGTTCAATACAATTTCCTTATTCCACTTGTTTATTTGTTCAAAACAATTTCCTTATTCCACTTGTTTATTTGTTCAATACAATTTCCTTATTCCACTTGTTTATTTGTTCAATACAATTTCCTCATTCCACTTGTTTATTTGTTCAATACAATTTCCTTATTCCACTTGTTTATTTGCTCAATACAATTTCCTTATTTCACTTGTTTATTTGTTCAATACAATTCCTCATTCCACTTGTTTATTTGTTCAATACAATTTCCTTATTCCACTTGTTTATTTGTTCAATACAATTTCCTTATTCCACTTGTTTATTTGCTCAATACAATTTCCTTATTCCACTTGTTTATTTGTACAATACAATTTCCTTATTCCACTTGTTTCTTTGTTCAAAACAGTTTCTTTGTCATTTTGTTAAAAAAAAATACATAAAAATTAAGTATTCTTTGAGAGCTGGATGAAGGTTATTTTTGGCCTTTTTCATAGCTTAAGCTCAATAGTATACTGTTTCACCACTGGCTCCAAAACACGAGATGCGTTTACTCCTTAAGTCTGTTGAGATGGCAGTGGGTCTACCCCATATAGATTTCCAATGAACTAAATATATTTTGAACATCAAATTTACATCAAATTAGTACAAAGAAATAATTGAAACTAAGATGACCGAGTATATTCATTCCTTTGAATTATATGCCACCTCCGTGTTCCCCTGCTTGTTGTAATAGTCGACTAGAAGAGGTGGAAAGGAGAGGACTTGGAATCCCCACTTCTATATTTTTCCTTCGGGCTAGAAATCCCCACACCTTTTTTTTTCCCACAGAGTTAAAGTTTTGTTTTGACTCGGCCACTACCTATGAGGGAATATGGCCCTTGTATATACTATACATAAAGGTTAACAATAAGTACGGTCACACGTACGTTCTAAACATTAAGGGGGGTACAGGTGATCATTATTACTGTCAGTAAAAATACTGACACTATTCTATTGGTGTGAACTACTACGTCCATATGATGGACACACCGACAGTAATAATGACAGTACAGGGAAATACTGTCAGTAATATTGATCGTCTGTTTAGCCCTTAAAGGTTAACAATAAGTACGGTCACACGTACGTTCTAAATATGGCATAATGATGGTTACTGCCACCTACGACAAACATTATGATTGGCAATGAGTGCCAAACCAATTTCAGATTGGCATAAATGGCATTATTCCCTTTTCCCCTCACAGAGGAAGGTTTATGGCGAGCGAGTCGCGAACTCGACGCCTGTTCCCACTTGTGGTCGTCCAATTTGAGCGAACTCGTCCAATTTGAGCGAACGACGGGCAAATGGGTCATGAAACAAAATTCGAAATCCATTGAAAATGTTTGTGTTTTTCGAAATATTTATTTATGCTTTTTTATTCTTACTGTTTGAAGTTACTGAGTATTAGTTAAGTATTTCAAGTGACCAATGAAAATTACCTAGAAAATTAATGAAATCAATCCGCCGGTATCGAATTGGTTTGGAGCCTTGACACCAAATAAATGTGCTTCTTTTCTTGGTATCGAAACCTGTATGGATTAATAAATGTCCTCCATGGATAAAGCAGCAAGACTACCCTATTTAAATATATATATATATATATATATATATATATATATATATATATATATATATATATATATATATATATATATATATATATATATATATATATATATATATATATATCATTTTTACCCCGACCGAGACTTGAGCCTGGGACTTATAATTACTAAGCCAAGGCGCTACAACTACACCACAGAAGGTCTAAAAGGGAAACACACCTTACAGTTTATAACTGCTGTACTAGGAATGAACGCATTCTATCTGAATGCGACTATGTTCATATTACAGTTGCCCCCAACCTCACTCGTGGTTTCGTTTTCAAATTTTATTCAACTCCCAATCTCATTTTTTTTTTTTTATGATTGTGACACCAGGACGGGCCAAAGAAAATTATAAAATAAAACAGCCCTCATCGGGCCTGGGCACGAAATATACATAAAGCAAATAGAAACAGAGATGGAGAGTGTAATGACTTGTCAGATGTGAAGGGATAATAAAAGATGTGTAATGAATATTGGAACCAACAATAACAAAACGAGCACATTCCATATGTGAAAACATGAATCATTTATACCCCAAACGGGATTTGAACCCTAGACTTATAATTATTAAGCAAAGGCGCTACCAACTACACCACAGAAGGTCTAAAAGGGAAACAGACTTTACATCTGGAATGTGCTTATTTGGTTATTATTGTATGGTGGCACTCAGATACAATGCGCTCATTCCTAGTATAGTAGATATAACCTGTAAGGTCTGTTTCCCTTTTAGATCTTCTGTGGTGTAGTTGGTAGCGCCTTGACTCAGTAATTATAAGTCCCAGGTTCAAGTCCCGGTCGAGGTAAAAATGACTCATTTTCACATATGGAATGTGCTTATTTGGTTTTATATATATATATATATATATATATATATATATATATATATATATATATATATATATATATATATATATATATATATATATATATATATGATGAGAGAGAGAGAGAGAGAGAGAGAGAGAGAGAGAGAGAGAGAGAGAGAGAGAGAGAGAGAGAGAGAGAGAGAGAGAGAGAGAGAATCATGCTCATCATCATATATACATTTAGCAAAGACAATAATAAGTAAATATTTCTCTTTCTTATAAGTGTCTATAGTTTGCATCAAACAGCGGGGCGTTAGGAGGGGTATCATACATTAATTTTTCAACTCCAACTTTCCTGTCTCCCTACACTCGATTCCTGTTCAATACTGGTACAGAAAACGGCACTCAATAGTGCCATTAGTGAAGTGCAATTCCTACACTCGATTCCTGTTCAATACTGGTACAGAAAACGGCACTCAATAGTGCCATTAGTGCAGTGCAATTCCTACACTCGATTCCTGTTCAATACTGGTACAGAAAACGGCACTCAATAGTGCCATTAGTGCAGTGCAATTCCTACACTCGATTCCTGTTCAATACTGGTACAGAAAACGGCACTCAATAGTGCCATTAGTGCAGTGCAATTCCTACACTCAATTCCTGTTCAATACTGGTACAGAAAACGGCACTCAATAGTGCCATTAGTGCAGTGCAATTCCTACACTCGATTCCTGTTCAATACTGGTACAGAAAACGGCACTCAATAGTGCCATTAGTGCAGCAGTGCAATCCCTACACTCGATTCCTGTTCAATACTGGTACAGAAAACGGCACTCAATAGTGCCATTAGTGCAGTGCAATTCCTACACTCGATTCCTGTTCAATACTGGTACAGAAAACGGCACTCAATAGTGCCATTAGTGCAGCAGTGCAATCCCTACACTCGATTCCTGTTCAATACTGGTACAGAAAACGGCACTCAATAGTGCCATTAGTGCAGTGCAATTCCTACACTCGATTCCTGTTCAATACTGGTACAGAAAACGGCACTTAATAGTGCCATTAGAGCAGAGCAATTCCTACACTCCATTCCTGTTCAATACTGGTACAGAAAACGGCACTCAATAGTGCCATTAGTGCAGTGCAATTCCTACACTCGATTCCTGTTCCATACTGGTACAGAAAACGGCACTCAATAGTGCCATTAGTGCAGTGCAACTCCTACACTCGATTCCTGTTCAATACTGGTACAGAAAACGGCACTCAATAGTGCCATTAGTGCAGTGCAATTCCTACACTCGATTCCTGTTCAATACTGGTACAGAAAACGGCAATCAATAGTGCCATTAGTGCAGTGCAATTCCTACACTCGATTCCTGTTCAATACTGGTACAGAAAACGGCACTCAATAGTGCCATTAGTGCAGTGCAATTCCTACACTCGATTCCTGTTCAATACTGGTACAAAAAACGGCACTCAATAGTGCCATTAGTGCAGTGCAATTCCTACACTCGATTCCTGTTCAATACTGGTACAGAAAACGGCACTCAATAGTGTCATTAGTGCAGTGCAATTCCTACACTCGATTCCTGTTCAATACTGGTACAGAAAACGGCACTCAATAGTGCCATTAGTGCAGTGCAATTCCTACACTCAATTCCTGTTCAATACTGGTACAGAAAACGGCACTCAATAGTGCCATTAGAGCAGTGCAATTCCTACACTCGATTCCTGTTCAATACTGGTACAGAAAACGGCACTCAATAGTGCCATTAGTGCAGTGCAATTCCTACACTCGATTCCTGTTCAATACTGGTACAGAAAACGGCACTCAATAGTGCCATTAGTGCAGTGCAATTCCTACACTCGATTCCTGTTCAATACTGGTACAGAAAACGGCACTCAATAGTGCCATTAGTGCAGTGCAATTCCTACACTCGATTCCTGTTCAATACTGGTACAGAAAACGGCACTCAATAGTGCCATTAGTGCAGTGCAACTCCTACACTCGATTCCTGTTCAATACTGGTACAGAAAACGGCACTCAATAGTGCCATTAGTGCAGTGCAATTCCTACACTCGATTCCTGTTCAATACTGGTACAGAAAACGGCACTCAATAGTGCCATTAGTGCAGCAGTGCAATCCCTACACTCGATTCCTGTTCAATACTGGTACAGAAAACGGCACTCAATAGTGTCATTAGTGCAGTGCAATTCCTACACTCGATTCCTGTTCAATACTGGTACAGAAAACGGCACTCAATAGTGCCATTAGTGCAGAGCAATTCCTACACTCAATTCCTGTTCAATACTGGTACAGAAAACGGCACTCAATAGTGCCATTAGAGCAGTGCAATTCCTACACTCGATTCCTGTTCAATACTGGTACAGAAAACGGCACTCAATAGTGCCATTAGTGCAGTGCAATTCCTACACTCGATTCCTGTTCAATACTGGTACAGAAAACGGCACTCAATAGTGCCATTAGTGCAGTGCAATTCCTACACTCAATTCCTGTTCAATACTGGTACAGAAAACGGCACTCAATAGTGCCATTAGTGCAGTGCAATTCCTACACTCGATTCCTGTTCAATACTGGTACAGAAAACGGCACTCAATAGTGCCATTAGTGCAGTGCAATTCCTACACTCGATTCCTGTTCAATACTGGTACAGAAAACGGCACTCAATAGTGCCATTAGTGCAGTGCAATTCCTACACTCGATTCCTGTTCAATACTGGTACAGAAAACGGCACTCAATAGTGCCATTAGTGCAGTGCAATTCCTACACTCGATTCCTGTTCAATACTGGTACAGAAAACGGCACTCAATAGTGCCATTAGTGCAGTGCAATTCCTACACTCGGTTCCTGTTCAATACTGGTACAGAAAACGGCACTCAATAGTGCCATTAGTGCAGTGCAATTCCTACACTCAATTCCTGTTCAATACTGGTACAGAAAACGGCACTCAATAGTGCCATTAGTGCAGTGCAATTCCTACACTCGATTCCTGTTCAATACTGGTACAGAAAACGGCACTCAATAGTGCCATTAGTGCAGCAGTGCAATCCCTACACTCGATTCCTGTTCAATACTGGTACAGAAAACGGCACTCAATAGTGCCATTAGTGCAGTGCAATTCCTACACTCGATTCCTGTTCAATACTGGTACAGAAAACGGCACTTAATAGTGCCATTAGAGCAGAGCAATTCCTACACTCGATTCCTGTTCAATACTGGTACAGAAAACGGCACTCAATAGTGCCATTAGTGCAGTGCAATTCCTACACTCGATTCCTGTTCCATACTGGTACAGAAAACGGCACTCAATAGTGCCATTAGTGCAGTGCAACTCCTACACTCGATTCCTGTTCAATACTGGTACAGAAAACGGCACTCAATAGTGCCATTAGTGCAGTGCAATTCCTACACTCGATTCCTGTTCAATACTGGTACAGAAAACGGCACTCAATAGTGCCATTAGTGCAGTGCAATTCCTACACTCGATTCCTGTTCAATACTGGTACAGAAAACGGCACTCAATAGTGCCATTAGTGCAGTGCAATTCCTACACTCGATTCCTGTTCAATACTGGTACAAAAAACGGCACTCAATACTGCCATTAGTGCAGTGCAATTCCTACACTCGATTCCTGTTCAATACTGGTACAGAAAACGGCACTCAATAGTGTCATTAGTGCAGTGCAATTCCTACACTCGATTCCTGTTCAATACTGGTACAGAAAACGGCACTCAATAGTGCCATTAGTGCAGTGCAATTCCTACACTCAATTCCTGTTCAATACTGGTACAGAAAACGGCACTCAATAGTGCCATTAGAGCAGTGCAATTCCTACACTCGATTCCTGTTCAATACTGGTACAGAAAACGGCACTCAATAGTGCCATTAGTGCAGTGCAATTCCTACACTCGATTCCTGTTCAATACTGGTACAGAAAACGGCACTCAATAGTGCCATTAGTGCAGTGCAATTCCTACACTCGATTCCTGTTCAATACTGGTACAGAAAACGGCACTCAATAGTGCCATTAGTGCAGTGCAATTCCTACACTCGATTCCTGTTCAATACTGGTACAGAAAACGGCACTCAATAGTGCCATTAGTGCAGTGCAATTCCTACACTCGATTCCTGTTCAATACTGGTACAAAAAACGGCACTCAATAGTGCCATTAGTGCAGTGCAATTCCTACACTCGATTCCTGTTCAATAATGGTACAGAAAACGGCACTCAATACTGCCATTAGTGCAGTGCAATTCCTACACTTGATTCCTGTTCAATACTGGTACAGAAAACGGCACTCAATAGTGCCATTAGTGCAGTGCCAGAGATAGAAAAGGGAAGAGCAAAAGATTAAAGGGATAAAGGGAAGGTCAGAGAATTGCAGATATAAATGTTTATATATATATAAAAGAACAGATGGATAAATGCAGAATATATAGAAAAGAATTGAAAACGAATTCGAAAAATGAAATAAGTAGGACACATGTGGAAGAGACAATAGGACACACGTGGAAGAGACAATAGGACACATGTGGAAGAGACAATATGACACACGTGGAAGAGACAATAGGACACACATGGAAGAGACAATAAGACCCAAATATGATGAATAACCCAAAGTAGGACACACGTGGAAGAGACAATAAGACCCAAATATGATGAATAACCCAAAGTAGGACACATGTGGAAGAGACAATAAGACCCAAATATGATGAATAACCCAAAGTAAGACACACGTGGAAGAGACAATAAGACCCAAATATGATGAATAAC